TATATATACATATAATAAAGAAGATGCTGTTAAAAACAGTTTTAGATGGTGTTTAGTTTAGATGTCGCACCAATGTATGAGCTACTCGAGCGTATTTCATATCAGCTGCTCATTTACACTCTACAGAGACAGACTGAAAGAAACAGAAACACACGCATACATATTTATGATGGAAGTGAAGCTCCTGAAAACGTCAAACAGCAAGTAGGTCAAATCACCTGTCACTACATCCCAATATAAACACTCTGTCTGTCTGTCTGTGTGTGTGTGTGTGTGTGTGTGTGTGTGTGAGATAGAGAGAGAGAGAGAGGCTGCTGCTCAACAGAATGACATAACTGCACAAAATGAGTGTGTGGTGTGAGAATAACACACACACACACAGTGAAATATTCAGACGGTGGCGTTTTAATGGTCAGAACAAATTGAGCTCAAACACGAACGCTTTCATTTCACCGCAGTGTTATTAAACACATCTAAAGAGATGTTAGCAGACTCAGCCGTGACTTTCACATACGCTGCACATCTCAAACTCAAAAACATCAACCTTCTTGCCGTTTGCATGAACATTTGAGCCGTTAGTAGCTCTCCCCCAAAAACATTTTCCATTTGAGTTTTTATCTTTCCACTTTAAGCTTTAAACAGCCCAGCGCTCCGAGCAGAGGGCCGTGGGTGTTATCCATGAGGAGGGCATGCCTAATCCCGATCCACGAGCCCCACGCCGCTCCTCCAGTAATCACAGCACTCGCAGGATCACACACACACACACACACACACATACACACAGTCCCAAATCCCACTGTTCTGTAAGCCGCCGCTTCACTGATACAAAAACACCATCAAACCGGAGAGAACAGATCAACTACAGTCCAGACGCACACAACGACACTAGAAAACACAGTATCAATCGCAGACACCACTGTTAGTGTGGTGGTGGTGATGATGATGAAGGAGTGGATCAGCAGCTGTCTTTAATTAAGACTGTCTGCTGATTGAGCTCAGAGTCATTAATGTGAACAGAAATAATGAATTCACATCACAAAGCACACGAGACACTGACGAGAACAGCGAGAGATTCGACTGGGATCAGCAAAAACGATCCTCAAGACTGCAGGATGACCACAAACGCCCTCATTTATGCAAACGAGCACATTTCATCAAACCTCTGGCCATTTGAATGAAGATGGTAATGATTTATGCTACACACGGGAACTAAATAAAAGTTATGCATTTTTAGAATTTTGAATAAATAAATAATGCTTATTGTTTGATGATCATGCAAATCAGAATGACAGGTTCTGACAGATTAATCTCACTTCTGGAGACAAATGTGTCCCAAATTATAGCTAAACACACACACACACACACACACACACACACACTTGGACCAGGGACTGGAGTTTGTGTCCCACCAAAGCTTTTCTGCCTGATCAGACATTTATCATCATCATCATCATCATCATCAAAGACCCGGAAATCCCATGACCAACCGCAGCAGCACCACTGACCCAGAACACACACACACACACACACACACTCCTCACAGAATCACAGATGTAAGTTTGTGCACTCACAGCAGCTGATTTGTGTCTCACTACAGCTTTTCTGACATATTCATCATCATCATAAGAGACACAGAAATCCCACAACAAACCTGAAACACACACACTTCCAGCACACATGTCCGGTTCTCTTTCACACACACACTTACAGAGAGTGAAAGTATCTGTACTTACTCCAAACGCTGAAGAATCACAAAGCACTGACTGAAACACACGAGAGAAGCACACAATCATCAGTACGGCACGAGGAAGATGAGGAGGATGAAGATGCTGAAGAAGATGAAGAGCATGATGAAGACTCACCCAAAAGCCTTCAGAGGAGCGCTGAGGATCCGGAGGAAGGTTTTATGTCTTTCTGTCACTCCAGCCAGAAACAGCCGCGATGAGGAGGATGAAGATGAAGATGAGGATGAAGAGCGTCTTATTCCACACACTGACAATCAGCCGCGATCATCCGCGCGTCCGACGCCCGCGAGCATCACAGAGAAACACGCGCACGCGGAGAGGAGATACCTGACTCTGTGTGTGTGTGTGTGTGTGTGTGTGTGTGCGCGAGAATGACGCGTGCGCCTGCAGTTCCGCCGCGCGCCGCACATTAAACAGCTTCATCTGATTCATATGAACCATTTGATTTCATATCATCTGGTCAGCTGCGAGTAAACGCGTCATATCGACTGAGCAATCGATTGTGTCTTTATCTGTTTAGAAGAACAAAAGCGAAATCAGCTCCATTTATTTTAAAACGTACGCTTAAAGAACAAATAGTGATTACTACGGCTTGCAGGACACTAACAACTGTTCTGAGACCGTTTCGCTGATGTTCTCATCAAGTTATGAAAATGTTTGTTCTCTCGACATTTTTATTTTTATTTTTTTGCATTTAAAGGAACATTCCATTTAATCGTTTTGCAAACATTATAGGAACGTTACATTTGAATGTTCCCTCAACCTTCTGAAACATTTAAACATGTTCCCTCACGTACGTCTCTAAGATGTCTCACTTTATCTGGAAAGCTGTATACAAACATGTGATAGATGTCTGTAAGATGTCAGTTTTACATACATTCTAAATCATAAACATCTTAAAGACATATTTTAAACGTCTATTTGACATCTGATAGGAAAAGTCCTATAAATGTATTGCAGATAGCAAACACTCTAAAAAGTGCGTCTTGCAGACAGAGGCGTCATGCCCATTCAAACGTGCCCCCTCAAATGTTTGAGCCAAGTGGATTTTGAATGCAGCTTCAAAAAGACAAAAAATAGCCGAATAATACTTTTATATTTGATACAATCACACCAGTGTGATTAAAGCGTTCAGTGCTGCACATAACCAGCTGCTAAATTCGCTGGCTGGTGCTGAGACAGACAAAGACGCGTGTTACAGTGCTGCGCATTTTAACCAATCACACACAATTCTGTTGCGCTTATGAATGCAATGGCCAATCAGAGGCGTTTAGATGAGTCACCGCGCGCGCTGGCTGACTGAATTCTCTGGCGAATTCTCTCATCAGAAACAACAAAGTGCAGATGTACCAATGTAAGTACTAAAGTGAGATATTCATTTCACACTGTAAACAGCTTCAGTGATTATAATGGGAGTTTCTGAGAGTGCTTGAACTCTATAACTCTATAGACTGAAGTCAGTGAAAATGTTTTTTGATAATGTAAGTTCTTTGCTCTTGCTGTGTTGTTCGACTCAATCAGACTTTGTTGATGCTTTTTTAACTTTAATCAACAGCTTTGATTAAAAAGCCACCTGCCTCGCGACCCGTCACCGCTATAGCAAACAGGTGGCGCGACGCTTTGGTGCTGCGCGCGCGCCATTATGGATTGAAAGGGAGGAATAAAACATAAATTACGTCGCAAATAGCTAAATAAATATAGAAATGCACTGTCTGTTTATTATATGCATCAATCTGAGTGTAAACAGAGAGAGATGTTGAGGCAGGCGCTTCGGTGCTGCGTGCGCTTCATTATGAATTTAAAGAGAGTATTAAACATAAGTTACAATACATCTTTGTCGATCTCATTCTCGTTCTGTTCTCGCGATATCACTACACTCAAGCTCTCTTTCTGTACAGTGAAAGTGTTATAGGTTAATTAGTAACTTACAATGTTTGTATAAATTCACATTAAATACAAAGTCAGTCATATTAAAAAAAAGAAATTGGCATGACGCCCATATCTGGTACTTAAGTCAAAAGACGGGTTTTTATGCACACTGTTAAAGAAATGTGGTTGCCGGAATTTTACCTTAGGTTTTACATAATAACAATACCATAATTTAATTAACTGAAAATATGTTAATATACCAAACTATTGAAGTACTGAAATCTGTTTTGTAGCTTTGTAATACACTGATAACCACCAAATGCAGGAGGTGATGAGAAAGTCACGTGATGAACCAAAGCCCATCACAAGCAGCTTTTAAATAATAACATATATAGAAGGTGCACAGCGTCATTCACACAAACACTAAACACCATCATGGTAACACACATGAAACTGAAATAATGCAATAAACATTCATTTAACAACATTAGGTGTAACACACAACCCTATTTTACAAAACTGAGTAATTCCCTGGGAAATCTGGGAATGACAATTTACAGTTATTCACTGGTCTTTTTCACTTCTAAAAACGGTATACTACTGTAAAATGACATATAATGTCCAATACAGTTTTTCACCGATAGTAGGGGAATTTACCGTTAACCATTTAACAGGTTTTTACTGTAGCATTTTTACAGTCTTTTACCGTTAAATTCAAGGTCATTTTTTACAGTGTACAGTAGCCTAAGTGTCTAAAACACACGTGTACATTTCATCTGAATGATCAAATTCGCGCTCTGTAACTTTATTTTATTAAACTGTGCGAAGAACTGTTTGCTGAAATCATGACCACATTATGGTAGTTTTTTACAGTGCATAGTTAGGCTAATAGATTACATTATTAGGCTAATTTGCCCATCACCCATTATAGATCGACTGACATAATCTATAAAGGTGCAGGATGCATTTACTTATACATATTTGAGAATCGAGACATTTCATGGTATAGTTAACATTTTTGGGAATATTTCGAATAAAAATAAAACATAAGCCTATATCAGTTGTTATACAGTGTGATCATGGCTGCTGTGTCACATGACGAGCCACCCCCCACCCTTCACTCGTGCCCCCTCAAAAATAATGAGTGCATGACGCCCCTGCTTGCAGAGGTAAATGCAGATGTCATATAGACGTCTCCGTGATGTATGTGTGCTATCAGGACTTGCCAGAATGTTCTCTGTTAGCTAACAAAAAGTGTCAGAGTATCACTATGATTTTATAGACATGTACCAGAAGTGAAAGTATTTAGTAATCATTCAGTGTAAAGTGTGGCGGTTTAAAGCATGCTCAGAGCTGTGATGATGACGCTTCTCATTGTGTTTAACAGATTAGCTGAAGATTCAGCAGCGTCTAAAATAGAAAACAATGAAAAGGCAGTTTTCATCTCACACACCTGCAGAAGAGCCTCAGCACAGTCAGTGTGTGTGTATGTGTGTGTGTGTGTGTGTGTGACTCTTCAGGTCAGCCGGTAACACACACACAGACGGACATGTCACTTACTGTTAGCATCTGAAGAGGGAGCAGAATAATGTCAGACAGAGAGAAAGAGACGCGGCTCATTTTTCTCTCTATTAATGACGTGTGCATTATATTGTGTTTGAATGTGAGTCAGAGTCTCATTATAAAAAAAAGGGCCCCGACAAAGAGTTTTAATTGAACGTGAGTCCAGGAAGTGAACATCTGATTCCAGCGCGGCTTGTTTGCCTTTATTCGCTGTTCTACAACTCAAACACATGGCTGCAAGGGCCGGTTTAAATTTAGAAAGCGCTCAGGAAGGAGAGAGCAATACAGTTACAGTGTCTCGCGTGCTGGAGATGGGCTGTGTTTGGCTGCAAGGCAGCAGCTCCTGAGCAAACAGCAGGCAAAGCGCCGGATCACATGTGCTCCAGCTCCCAGCATCCTCTGCTCTGGTCACTTCTGTCCCTTGTTCATCTGGATACAGACCTGTGAAACTCTGTCATGAGCCACGAATGCCTCGTTGCTTCTTGAATCTGGGTCACGCGTAAGAAGGGAAATATTCAACTGCACGAATTCAATAAACCCCTGCTGGGTTTCTCGCTCCTTTGTCATCATCTCAGCTTATTATTTGCATTAAAAATCTAACTGGTGTAACTCGAGCTCGCAGCACAGAAACAGCACATTCATGAGAACTGCGCCTGAAATCAGCAGACGACTTTAATGTTTCAGACGTTTGTGTCATTTATAATCACTAACTGCAGGATATCAGCCTCTAGACCAGACAGCAGGTTAAAAGTTAACATGAAATCCTGTTTACAAGCCACTGAACTTCCGTAATGTGACGCATTTCAGAGTGAAACATGATCGAGGATGGAGACAGAGCGTGAAAAAAACAAGCACACTTTAGCATACTTTTAATTAGAGTACTTATGGAAATAATATGCTTTAACAGAATATACTTAAGTGTAAAATTAATGTAGTGATTTTACACTATCTTCCATGTTAATTGTATTTATATTAAGTGCAGTTACTTGTTAGAATGGGTTTTTGATCCACTTAAGTAGGACTTAAGTACATCTTTATATTAAATTCACAATGACTTCTATTGTATTTGAAATATAGTTAAAGTACTGCTTAGTGTTCTGTTGAAACTTCTGTGTCATGTATTTACAAATGTGCAAAATCTGTAAAATATATTTTTTTTCTGTAAAACCTTTAATGAAAGATTATGTACACTAGAGAATTTTTTTTTTTTAATTAAAGTAAAATATCTTAATTGAAATAAAGTGCAAAAACAATAATTTAACAGAAATTTTCATTAAAAGTTTTTGTAAAAAAAAAAGTTATTTTACAGATTTTAACTTGTTTAAATTAAGATATTTTACTTTAATTTTATGTTTTTTGTTTGGCAGCCATAGCTGCTAGTTATTTGTCCTTTTTTACGGGACTTTTTTACAGTGTAAAATTATTGTTTTTGCACTTTATTTCAATTAAGATATTTTAATTTTACAGTTTTTGTTCGGCAGCTGTAGCTGCCAGTCATTTGACCAATTTTTTTATTTATTTTTTTTTTACAGTGTGTTTAGAAACGTCAAGAAAGTGTCTCTGTTTAAATCACTTGAATGGCCTTTTATTTTATTGAATATTACTGAAATAAAAGGCCACTTAAGTGACTGAAAAAGTTACACTTTCATGATGTTTTTAAACACACTTAAGTACACTTTAATCTGCATTTATATATATATATATATATATATATACATTTTTTTTTTTTATCTTTTAAGATTTTAAGTGCACTACAATTGCACATTTAATACAATCAAGCACACTTTTTTCACAAAGGCTGAATGCAAATTTACTAAAACGTCAGTGACGTCAGTGAAAAGCAACCGTGTATCAGAAGAGGAGCAAGCGATTTCAATCAAATCACTGGGAAAACACTCTGCCTTACTTCACTGACAAAGT